AGCAACCCCCCCCCCCCCCCCCTTAATAAGTTGGGTACTCAACGCCATAAAGGAAAAGTTTGTATAGATTGGGACTAGGTCACCAGCCCGGAAAACATAAGAATCTCTCTAACATGCAGATAGAACACAAGTGCGTAAAACCCACCCACGTGCTCGCCAAAGCCACTATGCGACGACACAAATAGCTAAAATTCGATCTCGTAGATACATTGAGACGTCCCAAAGATTGAGTGAGACATTCATCGCCCTGCCTATCAACTACCTCTCCAGGCCGAGCGATGAAGGAACTAGATAGACAGGGACTCCTTGAATGTATGTATGGATCATACAACAACATGTAGTATTCTCAAGAAAATTAGTAAGCGAAGCAGCATACAGAATTCTTACACAACTCCACCAAGTTTACACATCACGCCAACACAGGAAATGTACATTCGACCTCATTCGAATTTACAACAAGACAAATTCGACCTCGCTCGAATTAGCAAGACAAATTCGACCTCGTTCGAATTAGCAAGTCAAATTCGACCTCACTCGAATTAGCAAGTCAACTTCGACCTCGCTCGAATTAACAAGTCAAATTCGACCTCCAAATTAGCAAGACAAATTCGACTTCGTCCGAATTAACAAGTCAAACTCGACCTCACACAAATTAGCAAGTCAAATTTGACCTCGATCGAATTAACAAGTCAAATTCGACGTCGCTCAAATTAGCAAGACAAATTAGACCTTGCTCAAATTAGCAAGTCAAATTCGACCTCGCTCGAATTAGCAAGACAAATTCGACCTCGCTCGAATTAGCAAGACAAAATCGACCTCGTTCGAATTAAATATCGAAAGTCAGGGACTTATTGCAAAAAGATCCAAGGAATTCGAAAAGAAAAAAGAAGGAAAGGCCAAAGACATACAATCAAGGACAAATCAACTATTCCATTCAAAGGAAAAATAGCATCTTACAAAGGGACAAAAAGGGCCCCCCACCCAACTAACTAAGTACAGAAAAACTAAATGCAGGAGGAAAAATTAAGTACAAAAGCTTTACTCAACATTATCCCCATCCATGATAGCATCTCTCTCCCCGCTTGGTTTAGCGGCTTTACCTCCACCGTCACCATCTCCATCAGAATGTTCATCATCAAAGGTAAGCCCGTCCTCAGCCTCATCATCTCCACCGGCCTTCGGTGTCGCGGGATTATAGCTGCAGGCAAGCCGGGCCTCACCCGCTTTAACACGAACTTCTTTGAAAGAGGCTTCAGGAACATTCCTCGCTGTCAACAAGCCCTTATATATATTCCGCTGAGCCTCAGTGTGGATCCATATCTCATACAAAGGGTGAGGAATGTCAACAGAGACGGACACAGGAGGAATCGAAGCCAATAATTGCTCCCTCTCAGGCTCGAGACGTCTCTCTCAAGCTAGCCAATTCGCTCATCAAGCCGCGCGTCCCTCAGGCTACCGTTTCCATCTCAGTTGCACGTTTAGACCTGAGAACGAAGATAGAATCTTCTAATGCCACAGCCCTCGCCAAGGCCGCTATTCGGGCTCCCTCAGCCCTCTCGAGCTCGGTCGCCTTCCTTTCCAACTCGGTCACCTTCTTTGCCAATTCAACACTTAGATCGGTGACTCTAGTGGCACTCTGCTCAAGCTCCGCCCACAGGATCACCACCTTCGCCTGAAGATCAACACACTCAGATGCAACCTCTTTTGCCACCTCGATCTCTTCTTCTTTAGCCCTAAGCAGCCCCTCGAGTTCGTTGCATTTGCCAATAGACCACACCCAGGTCCTCGTCCTTCTGCTCCAATTCCTCTCTAAGGGACTGAAGATTGTTGCCTGCCCTGAGTCGTGCATGCATCTCGCGGCACTTGCCACGGTATCGGTGGTACTTTGAAACCATTTTCTGAAAAGCGGCAGCCCGCCTCTCCTCGCAGCAGATACTCTCAGTCTCCAAAATGGAAGTATGAAGAAAGAAGAGAGAATAGAAAGATAAAGTCAGCAAGAGTGGAAGACGTAAAACGAAGAAAGCAATAAACTAACCCTCAAAGCCATTCCGGTTACGCCCCATGATAAACCAGCATCGCTGATCTCCTAAAGGGCCATGCTTTTGGTAGAGGAACAAATAAAGGCAAATCGGGGCACCAGGATCACCGTGTCCTCCAACAAATCATAATTCGAAGAAATCTCGATCATGCGAGAGGAATCATCCGTTGCCGCCTCCACCCGAGTGAACCCCGCCTCAAACATGCTTATGTCCTCGGGGTCAATATCTAAACCGGATTCATAGTCATCTATAACCATGCCCTTTGCCCTCTTACTGGACGGAGAGGGAGCATGGGCATGTTATGAAGTCGATGGACCACTCGAAATGATTGCAGCGACCTCCAAGCTCTTCCCCCTACCACGGTAGACTCCCCCACACCAGAAATAGGCACCACCTTCATGCCCGAGGGTCTCCTCATCTAAATCAACATCACCAGCAGGCTCAGACACTACCAACACGGGATCGCCCCTCGAAGTCCCCTCGATCTTGGGTACCCCATCAGCCCTTATTCTCCGCCTCTTTAATGGAGCTTCTCGTCATCGTCCTGAGACGATTCATCCACCAAATGAACTGCTGGAATTAGAGCCTGATGAGCAACCTCACGACGGCCAAGTCCGAGAGGGGACGTAGTCTGTAAAGTAACAGCGGCCTGAATGCTCTCACTTGCAGCCGCAATCGGTTCAGGTCTGATTGAGAGACTCGACTGACGGAAAGCAGGTATGGGAGCCTCGCCCTCCTCATGACCCGCTGACCTACCAACGAGAGAAGCTTAAACCAAAGAGGAAATATGGGGAGGAAAATACAGAACAAAAGGCAAAGTGACCAAGGGCGAGATGAGAGGACTCACCAGCGAAGGTCTACACCTAAATCTCTCATGGAACAGCAAACATTCACGAATGCCCATCGTATGGGGCAAAACCTGGCTCACCCACTCGCGAATATTAGCAACTTGCCGAGGAGGTGCCTTCTCGGCTGCAAAATAGAGAAAAATGGAAAAAGAAGAACAATCAGATCACCGAAAGGGGACAACGAGAAACCGTTTGAGAAAAAATTAAAAATTTATGGGCATAATTCCACTCCTCAAAAAATTCATTAGGATTTGACACCACGTGCTCCATCCTCACAAATAAGAAGTTCTCCCAAAAGCGGTGATTGCTCTTATCATATATCTTCACCATCAAGCCCTTGGTCCCGCAGTGACGAAGATTCATTATAGTACCCTGTAAAAATTGGGTACAAAGAGGTGAAGCAAGTGACGGAGAGAAATCCCTCGGCTGGCCAGTTCCGCATACTTGGTAAGCATGAGGAAGAGCTTGTATATATACGGAGAGAGCTGAGTGGGGCATACCCCATAATAGCGACAGAAGTCCTCCGCCAGGGAAGGAAAGGGAAGTGTGTAACCGATGACAAACAGGTACGCATAAAATGCACAATACCCCGGGTGATGTATCTGCACGACGTCGTTACCTACAGGAATGAGCTCAACATGGTCAGGAATCCTCCACTTAGTCTTAAGCGCAGCAAGCACCGCAGCATCCATTATGAAAATGACAGGCTCAGGATCGGCGTCAGGTAAGTTCTTGAAATCAGTCTTGGCTTTCCCTGAACGTGGAATTATCTCATCCACAGTGGGAAAATTCTCATCTTCTACAATGGTTGTCCCTTCTTCATGGGAGGGCATATCCGTTTCCGACGCAACGGTACCGGTGACTCTACCTGAGTTAGAAGGTGCACTAGCCATGTTTTCTTTGGTTACATAGATGATAAGTGCTAAGGTGGAGGGGATAACAATGGCAAGAAACTTCAAAAGAAGAGAGATGGAGACGTAAGAATTTGAAGAGGGAGGAAAGAAAAGCCTGGAGTTTTTCGAATAATTTATAGGAAACATAGCAACCCAATGGAGAAGTTCTCTTCTCTATTTATAAGAATACAAGCACCCTGAGCGGGAAAACCAAACGCCGCCACATCAACTCCAAAACAGAAGAGGCACAGGAAACGACATAACGTATAGGGAACGTGTGCCATAATGATGCATGACAATTTGACGTCATTTCAAACTGACGTAACGGTTAGGTATGGCTCTCGAAGCATCACGCCGTCATCTTGCTATGAAGGGTTCACCCCTCGACCCAGATGCTCAGATTTCTCAACTCGCAAACTGGCGTAGTCTACTCATCAAGCTCGTCCAAAGGCGACCCCGACAGGTGGAGGGACTAACTGTATAGGTCAAAATCTAATCAAAGGAATTCTACTTAAGGAAGAACGACCAGGAGTCAACCAAGCCGAAGTCACGTACATGAAGCAATATATCAGCGAATGATTCAGCTACGATCGAGGTCGAGCACTCAGTTCGGCCCGAACGACTAGTTTGACACTTAGACATTTCAAAGGAATACTCTAGAGGATATTCCAAGAACTTAGGTACTCCGTTTAAGGACTGCTGGTAAGGGAAGTGTTTTGTATAAATATCATGAGAGGGAATAACAGAAGGGGGGGCTGATGGGAACACATACATACACATACATCCCTCAGAAGGAGAGGATGTTCCATCCCCCAGGCTCTTCGCCAAAAGGGGGATAAATCTCAGGATCCTGGCATTTATCTGTAGTTCAACTTTGTCAAATGTATGAAGGTCTATCTTGTTCAAGAATGGTGATTCCTTTCCTTTATGTATTCGTTATCATTTGATATTATTGAAGCCATCTTCCTTTTCTTACATTATGAAATCCAATCACGATTGTGATCAAATTTTACGTTCAGTTATGTTTGTTTATTTTTGTCTTCTATCTCAGATCTAGAATAAATTATCTCTGGCTAGGATTCACTCCATATCATCTTATTCAATTAATTTAATAAAAAGGCTTGAAACTTTTTGGTCAAACAGTTTCTATATCAGTTCTATTTATTGATTTATCATACAAGTGAAAGGCAAATGATGATTCGTATCACGTGATATTTCATATCATGGATCTTGAAGCAATTCTCTGGCAATCCTCCCATTAGCGCCGTGGGGATAGAATCCACCAGGCATATGCTCACTACCCGTGCTGTGTACAATCCTGAGAATCTCTTGCGGAGTTCTTGGGTAAGAGAGGGAATAATAGTCAGCAGATAAGACGTTACTTTCTGTTCGATTTTCAGCTCCAAGTTCTAAAGGGACATAAATGCCTTCATCTTTGATTCCGCACATTCCCAATCGGTTTCTTAAATTTGAAATGCGATCTGTAAAGTAGGCCACAGTGTATTCATAAGGCCATACTACTTCATCAGCTCTTTCATAAAGGTACATACGAATCACTGCATCTTGCCCTGCTTCAACTCCCAATAGTCCTGCCACAAGCTGTAAAGAGAAAAAGCATGCATGGATTAAGATTTTTGATAATCTACTTTGGCCAAATATAAGAATTTAGAGAACGTGATCAAAGAAACCTTAAATTGCCTAACTGATGCAATGGCCATTTAGAAAAATAGACTAACGAGGTCAGCATATAGCTAACGTGTTCCATTGTGCTCTGTTTTTACCTAAGTAGGTGCTCCTATAATTCTATCTTCTATATATATATCTATATACTATATTAAAAGCACGAAGGCCCTTAGCGAAACGTCGTTCGCTTTTTTTACCCTTTTAAAACTAGAGTTCAGACTAGACAAAATAGTCTTTTAAATATTATCCTAATATTTAAAAATATTTATTTAATTATCTCCCTAATATTTAGGAATTGACATTTAATTGTTTCCTTTATATTTAGGAATAATCATTTAATTATTTTCTTAATATTTAGGACTTCGAAATTAATTAAAATTTTAGATATTAAATCACTCCTTATTCAAACTATATACAAAACTTCTATAATCGAAGAATTTAAAATAAAGAAAAAATTTAGCTTTATAAATTCTTTCCTTTTAAAATTCATTACTTCTAACACCAAAGATTTAAGCAATAACTCTTAGCTAAATATTAAAAACGATTTTACTTAAATATTCTCTTACCAAATATTTGGAAGTTTGACCCTAGATGTCGTATCAATTTAAAATCTAAGAACTAAAATAAATTCAATTTAAGGAATTTATTTAATAACAAGACAATACTTTAGAATGGAAAAGAATGATTTTCTTAACATAATTTTCTATTATATTTTGATTAAATTAAGTAATATGATATCTTATTTATTAAATGCAAACTGAGATATATTATTCTTAATTTCTTAAGGATTATACAAAGTTCAACCAAGATATTATCATAGTTGGGTAAATACTTACTCACACCATGTGTTTACACCAAACTATATTAACTCACTATGGTTAATTAATTTAATTAGATGAGAATGAATATAATTTACTATGGTTAAATGATTGAAATCCATATGCAAGACACATGTCATGTATCTATTGGTTAGGTGTAAACATCCGGTGCAGGTAATAATAATATATTTTTAATTATTTTATTACTTTCATATTAAATTAAAATTAAGAAATACAAATTATGAGGAATAATTGGGGTCATTACTTATTTTCCTGAGTAAAATATATGACTTATTGGGGTCTCAAATTAATAAAAATTTATTTATTAGATTTTTTTCTCACTTAAACTATGTAGGAAATTATTTATCTATCTATGCTATATTAAAAGCACGAAATCCCTATTGAAATATCTTTTTTACTATTTAAAAGCTAATTTTACTATAGATAAAATAATCATTTAATTATTTTCCTAATTTAGGACTTCAAATCAACTAGAATTTTACTTACGAAGATCCTAACAATTAGGACTTCAAATTGAATTAAATTTTAACTTATTAAATCATTCCTTATTTGATCAGTTTTTTATAAATATTCTTTTGAAGTTTAGTACATTCCATTAAAGTTATTTTAATTCTTAGCCTATGAGGTATATAATAATATGTTTCTCTCTCTAAATTATCAATAATTGATTGCCTAAAATATGAAACATCCATCAACAAT